CCAATCACATTCACTTCTCAGGCCGTACAATGCTCTGCGGCAACCAATCACATTCACACGCGGTGCACATTTGTAGGGTGAATGTCGGCGTGTGAATGTGATTGGCGGCACATCATGTGACCGGAGCGATAATAACATTCACAGAGTAAAACTGATACAATGACACTTCTTACCGGAACTTCCCTTCTACAGGGTAACCAGACAGGAAGTCAGGCGTGCACAGGGAATAGAACTCCCCCCTCTATGACGCAACCTTCTGCTGACTCGTCTCCTGTTCTAGCTCATCAAAAAAACTCATCCTGTTGTGGATAGGAAGGCGTTTCTTGCTGTCGGGGAGATTTACCTTCACTTCCTGTCTTAGGGTCCCCACACACAAAACGATTATCGTACGATAATGGCGGGAAATCCCGCGATCGTACGATGATCGTAAGGTGTGTGGAAGCCGTGTGACCTCTACTGCTGTACGGTCGCACGACTTTGAACTTACGGACATGTTCGAAAACCCGCCGAGCGTCGTACGATGTTCGGCGGGTTTGTGGCATGTCCGTACCATAACAGCCGTACGGGCCGGTGTGCGCAAGTGCACACTGCCCATTCGGGATTGCGGTCATCGGAAGCCCGCCTCTCAGGGGGCGCGGCTTGCGATCATCGCAAGTACGATCTGCCTATGCAACATAGGCAGATCGTACGTTTTTTAAAGTACCTTACAACCATCGCAAGACAGAAGTTATCCAATGGTTGTAAGGTGTGTGCCCGGCCTTAGAGTCACAACACGGGATGCACGGATATATCGGCCAGCGAAACACATCGGCCGAAAATGCCGCTTTTGGCATAATGCCGTAAGTGCCATTTTCCTGCCGATACATCGGCGCGTCCGTGATTTCTCTCCTCCCGGCTGGGCGCTGCTCTGTGTCCCCAGCAGGGAGGAGAGTGCTGCGAGCGGCCGGCGTCTCTCCTCCCCGCACCGCTCAGCCGCCTATCACAGTCCGCAGAGCGGTGTGGGGGCGGAGACAGGCCGCGCTATCACAGGAGACTGAGCTCTCCGCCCGCACCGCCTCAGCGAGTCAGAGAGGAGAGCGGGTGATCAGTGATCGCTGAGTGTTTTTTTAGATAATTGAGGACAGAGTATGGTTACTATATCCCCAATAATGAATGGATGGGAAGTGATCTACATCACATCTACATCACTTCCTGTTCATTCATGATTGTGGTTATAGTAAAAGTCGTGTTTAAGGCGTTCTGGCGCCCTGGCTCCTGTCCAGCCATCTTTAGTGGGAAGACCTCCCCCTCTTATTTCCTCTCCTGGTGACCACACAGGAAGTGAGGGGAAATCTCCCCAACGGGCACACAGACAGCCTTTCCTGTCCACAATGTCCGGAGCTCTACTTTATGACCTTTGATAACGGCGGCTCGTTCACACACAACGGTCGCCGCGGGATACGGCGCTCCTCACCTGTGGTCGCAGGTTCTTGTGGACACGTTTGAGTTTCGCCCGCTTGCGGCCATTCTTTGTCACGATTGTTTCCTCGTAGAATTCGTGCGCCAAATCTCCGTCCTCGTCGAAGAACATGGAGCTGCGGGGAGAGAGCGCACAACCATCATCCGCCAGAACAGAGGCGCCGCGGACGCTTCACTTTGTATTTATAACACAGACAAACCGCCTCTGGTGTCAGCCATGATGGATGGAGGGAGCTCAGAGGACGACAGACAGGAAGTGGGCTGTGTCCGGGAAATGAATTCCCTCATATCAGACTCTTCTGTAGTGAATACGGTCACCTATAGAATGTCCGATCCGTTCTCACCAACACCGAGCTGACACATGACCGAGGGCTCCTCCCCCCCATCATGTGACACACCTGAGCAACCAATAACAAAGCAACACACAGGAGACACAGGAGGGGCAAGTCACATGATCCCTATACAGAGAGCGGGGGCTGCTGCCCCATACTAATGGCCATGGAGGGGGGGGGGCTACCCCATACTAATGGCCCTTGGAGGGGGGGTTACCCCATACTAATGGCCATGGAGAGGGGGGCTACACCATACTAATGGCCATGGAGGGGGGGGGACCCCAACCCCCTCCCGGGATCTCCCCCGGTCTTCTGTCACTCCGCTCCACTGCTTCTCTGCGTCACTTCCGCGGCCGGACAAACAGCCTCACGTGACCCACAGCCAATCAACACCTAGCACAGTGGGCGGAGCCGTGAGCCAGAGCGAGGCGCGCAGACACATGACAATTGGTGTTTGCTGGTGATCACGTGACTCTCCATGCGGCTACACTGTAGCTATGCTCCCGGGGTAACTATCAGAGTCCTATTGGTTAGCGGCTTTGGTGACGTCATCACGTTCCATTACACAGAGCGTCTGAGTCCGCTGACCTCAATGGTGATCATTTATTCTGCATTGGTCATGTGATTTGT